TATTAGAATTTGACCAATTAATTGCGCCATATTTACGCCCAGTCCTCCACGCTAACTGACACATCACCACAAGTAGCTTTCAGGTGTACTGGCCCTTAGTTTGCGTACACTAACCATACACCTATCTTTAGTTATGTAGTCAAATATTCTATGATACAACAACGCACGTGTATGACCTCGGTGTTTCATAAAAAAAATTAATTGTTCAACAAAAAAAATAAAAAATAAAAATTCTTATTGAAAATTAAAAAAATATAAATAATTAATACGAAAATATTTTTTAAACATTATTTCGAATGATACAAAATATTTTTATAAAATATTATTTATGATATTTAATATGTATTTATTTTTTCAAAATTAAATAGATTAATTAATTTATTCTTCAGTTCATAACACCCGTGAGTATCACGAGTGCTTGAAAGTTAAATATTTGTATCACATAAAGAATTGAAGAAATATATTTCTTATAATAGAATGATAAATATTAAATATACAATTAATAACTAAAAAATAACAAAACAATTATTTAAAATAACACTACAAAATAATTGTTATATTCCAGCGGAAAATTCTATGGTAATATATTCAAATAAAAATTCCAACGAATCTTCCAATGATATAGCTTTCATTGGAACGGTGCCAACGGAATATTCCGGTGGCATGTGTTTTTCATTGAAATTTTAGATGGAATTTGATGATTCCAACGGCTTTTTATCGTAGGAATTTATGTTGGAATATGCAAATTTCGTTAGAATTTTTATTTCCACCCCCATTGGAAAATCCACCGTTGAATCGTTAAAATCCAACGGAAAACACATTCCAACGAAATATTTTTGTTGGAATTTTCGTTGGAATCCATTAAAAAATTCCAACGGAAATAATAGTATTAAAATATTTGTTGGAATTGCAGGTAGAATAATTTTTTAGAATAGATTTCCGTTGAAATTTCATTATTTTCTTGTAGTGTAATACTACTAGTGCGTAGCCCCGTGCAATGCACGGGTAATTATATTAAATAATAATTATAAATAGGTATCGAGTTCGAGTGGTGGAGAACCATTATCCTATTTTAAAAGAGAAAAAAAAAATATAAATTAAAGATGTGGGGTTAACATGTGATATAATTTACTGTCGTATATCAGTTTAATAATTATAAATAGGTCTGGAGTTCGAGTGGTGGGGTTAACATATGATATAATTGACTGTCGTATATCACTTTATTATCAACAATATGAAATTAACTTGTATAAGAGAACATAGAGTTTGCATGTTTAAAATACTAAAAATATGTAAAAGTAAGTAAAAGTTTATGTATTATTATTAAAAGATGTGAAGTCACCTACATTTTTTTTAAACTATTTTGGAAAGAAAACATGTTTAAAAACATTTAAATTTTATATTTTATGAAAGATGTTTTCTAAACTCTATTGTAAAGAAAACATGTTTAAAAATATTTAAATTTAATATGTATATATATATATACGTGTATATGTATATATAGATATAATATGACATGATAAAATATTATATAAAACTATCTACAATATCATAAGCCTAAATAAAAACATTATAAATTTTTGAGAGAAAATTTACCACTTATATATTAAATAAATAATGAAATTATACCGAGAATTATGACGGTATTTCTTATTATTTTTTTATAAGTTGTTACCGTAAAAAAAAAAAAAAAAAATGTACGCATAACAATTCCACGCTTTATGCAGTTTATTAATTTTACAAATACAGATCAAGATTAATTTAAAATGTAACAAATAAAATGGAATTTTATATTTATGTGATATTAATACAAAAATTGAAGACAATATTTAAATCTGCATTTTTTCTATTAACTTTTTATTATGTGCATTTATTATTTTTGGAGGAGAAATATGTGATAAATCTTATTCTCGTTAAAAAAAATTATGTTACATAATTTTGTTTAAAAAATATGTTAGAGTAGATACTGTTGGATCCTTAATCCAACATTGGGCTAATATGTGAAATAATTATTGTATTGTGGTTGTCAAATAAAGAAGCTCAAATAAAAGTGATCAATTAAGGTTTAAAGTTATTGGGTTTTAAAGTATCAATAGGGTGTGGGCCTTTAATGTGTAGAAACTAATGTGTCTTCAATTTTAATGATGGGCTAAAATAGATATACCCAATGTAATTTAATATACATAAGGGTTGTGGTCCCTAGGTCATACATCATCCACAGATTATCTCTTCTGCATCCCATCGACAGAGAGGTTACGGAGAAAAGCTAAAGGGTTCTCTGAAAGGTACTGATCGTATAGACCTAGAAGGCCAAATCCCCAAATCAATCACATATGGATTCAGGTACGCTTCCGCTATTCAGTCTTGATTCTCAATTATTCGATATGAAAGCTCCTGGATTAAAGCGATGTATTTCGCCTAAAGTTAGTTCCAACAAGTGGTATCAGAGCATCTTCATATTGGATTTTTTGGGAATCAATTTATTTTTGATCCATAAGATGAAATCCGATTTTGCTTTAGCTGTGAAAGGATTCAGTTGTCGCATATGTGAAAGGATTCGGATTTGTGAATTTGCAGTATATATATGAATATATAAGTTTGAAGAATGATA